GCTACTCAGGAGGCTGAAATCTGACGGATCATGGTTCAAAGCCAGCCCGGGGAAGAAAAGTCCATAAGACTCTTATCTCCAATAAACCACTAGAATACTGGAAATGGTGCTGTGGCTCAAGTGGTAGACCACTCACTTTGAACTGAAGAGCACAGAGACAGCACCCAGACCCAGAGTTCAAGCCCCACAATCGAAAAAAAAAAAAGTGACTATATCTCCTAAATTTACAATAAAAATCTGCCTAAAATAATGTTTGCTCTCCTTACAACATTTGACAATATTTAAAGTAAGTCTTAAAGTCCTTAGAAGTTCCCTGAAGAGGGCTGGGATTGTGGCTTAGTGGTAGTGTGCTTGCCTAACATGCATGAAGTCCTGGGTTCAATTCCTCAGTACCACATGAACAAAAAAGGCTAGAAGAGGCATTGTGGCTCAAGGAATAGAGTGCTAACCTTGGGTGAAAGCAGCTCAGGGACAGTGCCCAAGCCCTGAGTTCAAGCGCCAGGGCTGGGGGAAAAAAAGAAAAACAGTTCCCTGAAGAATGTGATTTCAGTATATCAATGACTTCAGATTTTACATTTGAGAGCAAAGTGGGAAGTGGGAAAAGAGGCTATGAGAAAAGACTACAGTTGTGATTTTAAGTTATTAATTACATGGCTTTAAAAGATGACATTCTAAGCTCTTGATATATACTGGGAACAAAACAGAAGCCTCATGGAATTTATTTACAATTTTCAATTACCCGATAGATGAAAAGGTTCTCCATCTTACCCAGACTCTAATACTGTTTCATTAACCCCCCCCATAAGAAACTTATTTAAGAATTACCAATGTACACTACTCAGTAGACTGAGATCTGTAGAGGAGCTGGGGCAATAAAGTTTATGAGACTCAACTCCAATTAACCACCAAAAAGCCAGAAGTGGAGGTGGCTCAAATGATAGTCTGGCCCTGAGTTCAAGCCCAGTACTGGCAGGAGAAAACTGCCAAACAAACCTGAAAATCACTGGTATGCCCCAGAAAGGGGGAAAAGGGGACACAGCAGGAACCATTAGTATGTTAAAACCCCAGTGAATTCCTCAGTGTGCCTTTTCAGAAAAGCCTGCAAGCAACCTTCATTGTCTGGGTTATCAATAGGAATGCAATAGCAATTTTAATCCAGCTTTTGCAACTGACCTACTAATAAGCAATAGTGTGAATTGCCACATACTTCATTTGCACATAAGTTCTCCTACTAAAGACAACAATCCTCCCTGAGTCATTCTAGAAACAAAACAACAGAACTACACCTCACTAATGAAAATAGCACATTCAAGTTTTGCAACTAATCCCTCATAGCCAGTTAACTCCCACATCTGATGGGTTGGGGCCATGCACAACATGTTGAGTTTGATCCCTAGCA